CAGCACGGTGCAGCACAGCACAGCCCTCGGCACGGTACATCAAGATCGATACAATCAGCATTGCACTTGCCCGTCACCCAATCAGGTGTCTTTGAAAACGCTGCCATGCGTTACATTTCTATATTCCTTTCCGGGTTCGTGGGTCGATCATGTTTTGATTGAAGCCTTCCCGTGTCTGCCCGGGTGGCCCGCGGCGGGTACAAGACCGCTGGCGGCAAGCGGTCGAAAGGGAACAAAAATGAGGAGGAGGAGGAGGCGGAGGAGGAGGAGGAAAAGGAGGAGGGGTGGAGGAGGAGGAGGAGGAGGAGGAAGAGGAGGAGGAGGAGGAGGAAAAGGAGGAGGCGGTGGAGGAGGAGGAGGAGGAGGAGGAGGCGGAGGAGAAGGAGGAGCAGGAGGAGGAGGAGGAGCGGAAGAGGAGGAGGAGGAGAAGGAGGAGGAGGAGGAGGAGGATAAGGAGGAGCAGGAGGCGGAGGAGGAGGAGGATGAGGATGAGGATGAGGATGATGATGATGATGATGATGATGATGATGAGGAGGAGGAGGAGAAGGAGGAGGAGGAGGAGGGGGAGGAAGAGGAGGATGAGGAGGAGGAGGAGGAGAAGGAGGAGGAGAGGGTGGAGGAATAGGAGGAGGAGGCGGAGGAGGATGAGGATGGGGCCTTCTTGGAGCCTGCTGGGGGCTTCAGGGGGTCTTTTGGGGATCTCTGAGGGGCCTCTTGGGGGCCTCTTGGGGGCTCTATGGCTTCGGCGGCCGTCTTGGGTCTGGGCCGTCGTGGGTCCCTGTTGGGGCGCTGTAGGGTCGTCGTGGAGGTCCTTTGGGCCGTTTTGGGGCCCTCTTGGGGTTGGGGCCTTTTGGTCCGTCTTGGGACCGTCTTGGGGGCCTCTTGGGATGTTTTGGAGGGACATTCGGGCCCTCTTGGGCCGTATTGGGTTTTCGAAAGCCCGACAAGGCGAGAGCTCGCAAACTATTTCCCAAACCGAGTTGGGATTATGGAATCTTTCCTCCTGGAAGCCTCCTGGCGGTCCTCTTGGAGCCCTCTTTGGCCGTCTTCGGAGCTTCTTGAGTCGCCTTGAAGCCGCCCTGGGCAGTACCGGTGCCTCTGTGACCGTGTTGGGCTAAGACCCGCTTTAGGCCATCTTGGCCGCCTTGGAGGCGTCTTGGGACCGTCTTGGAGGCCATCTGGGGCCATCTTGGAGCCACCTTGGGCGGAAACGATGACGCAACGTACCTTGTACGCGGCCTTCTGGGTGGCTGGCGGGATCAGCCGAGACTCCACTGGGAAACACGGGCGGGAAAGAGCTCGATAATTCGGCACGCAAGACACACCTTTGCAAGCACCCCTTCGCAAGCAGAATGGGGCGGCGGGTGACGGAAAGCGCGCTCAGTGTGCTATCCGTTAGTCGGAGGAAATGAGCCAGGGGGAGTTTGAGGGGTTGGCAGGCGGGGCCCCAGGGACCCAGTAGACAAGATTGCGATTCTGATGGGAACATCTTCACACAACCGAGATGTCTTGGGATCGATTTTGGAAGGCCTCAAGACGGCCCAACATAGCCCAACTACATGGCTCCATCACGCCCTACTTCCGTCCAACATTGCGATACCGCGTGAGACATGCTCACATTAATGAGATGTTGTCGACATCGCGCTTGCTCAACATGGCGATGTCACTATGGACCTCCGCACAAAGCGTGAGATGCGGTCGACGTCGTCGTGGTTCCGATTCCTATGCATGTATATATATATATATATATATATGTATATATATATATACATATATATACATATATATATACATATATATATATATATATATATCCACGTGCACATTCCCAACATCGTCTTGGGGTCGCTCTTGGAAGGCCTCAAGACGGCGCAACATAGCCCAACAATATGGCCCAATAGGGTCCCAAGATTGCCCGGGATGGCTTCAAGATGGTCCCCAAGAGGGCCTAAGACGACTTCCAAGACGACTTTCAAGACGGCTCCAGAAGATCCAAGAGGCACCAAGGCGGTCCAAGGGCGCTCCACGACGGCCCAAGAGAGCTTCAATACGGCCCGCGAGGCTCCAAGAAGTCTCAAGAGGGCTCCAAGAGGATCCCAGAGGTGGCCTCCAGATGCGCCAATTAGCGATCCACTTGTTAGGTGTTTTAGAGTTCTCGCATGTTCAAGCTTTCGACAGGCCAAGAGGGCTCAATCTGCCTCCGAGGTCGGTCGTTCCAAGACGGCCCAGGAGGGCCCGAAGACGGCTCACGAGGGCCAGAAAGCTGCCCGAGAGTCTCCCAGGTCCGAACAGGGGAAGCGCATGGTTCTGGAAAGCGGGCGGTCCAATCGGGAACATCACGACATTCGGACACCGGACTGTCCAAACAGGGAAAACGCATGGTTCTGGAAAGCGGGCGGTCCAAACGGAGAACACGCGATGTTCGAACAGCGGGTGGTCTACAAGGGGAAACAAGTGGCTCTGGAAAGCGGGCGGTCCAAACAGGGAAAACACAGCATTCGGGCAGCGGACGGTCCGAACGGCCCAAGAGCGCCTTCGAGACTGCCGAAAATGGCGATTCCGCTAGCCTTGACCAAGTTATCGATCCCTTGCATCACATGTTGAAGATGATGTTTCCAACATCATCTCGCAATCTCTCTTGAAGGGCCTCAACGCTGCGCAAGAGGGTCCGAATACAGCCCGAGAGTCTCCCAAGACGGCCCAAGAGGGTCCCAAGACTTCCCAGGGATGCGACAAGGGCGAGGGGCAGAGAGGACGAAGAGAAGGAATATTGGGCAAACCAGCGATCTCGCGCCATCACAAAAAGTAAGTTGCGCTTTCCGTCCCCATGCCGAGCAGGTAACGGAAAGAGCGAGGTACGAGTGATGACGTTCTGATGTGGGCGAAGCCCTAAAGGGAGTGGCTCCAGGGGAGGGGGGTTAGCGCGCGCAAATGCGTGTTAATGGCCGTTTTCGGGTTTTCCCTAGGGTTTTTGCATGTTTTTTCGGGTTCTCCCCCAAGACGGCCCAAGAGCGCTCCAAGAGAGCCCAAGACCGCCCAAGACGGCCCAAGAGGCCCCCAAGAGGCCCCCAAGAGGCGCCCAAGTCCCAAGAGGGCCCCAAGAGGCCGAAATCATAGATTTTCCAGAGGAGAGCATATATTTTTAGCATGTGCGCTTTGTCGGCTTTCACGGCGTTGACAACGGCCCAAGAGGCCCCCAAGACCGCCCCAAGACGGCCCAAGAGGCTCCCAAGAGGCCCCCAAAACGGCCCAAGAGGGCCCCAAGACGGCCCAAGAGGCGCCCAAGACGGCCCAAGAGGGCCCCAATACGGCCCCAAGAGGGGACCACGAACCGAAAAGTCTAGCCTTTCGCCCCAAGACGCTCCCAGGAGGCCCCCAGAGCCCCCCAAGAACCCCCAAGAGGCCCCCAAGAGGCGTCCCAAGAGGCAACCGGGAGGCGAAAATCATTGATTTCCTATGGTAAAAAGTACATTTTTAGCATGCAAGGCTTTTCGGCTTTCACTGCGTTGAAGACGCTCCAAGAGGCCCCCAAAACCGCCCCAAGACGGCCCAAGAGGCTCCCAAGAGGCCCCCAAAACGGCCCAAGAGGGCGCCAAGACGGCCCAAGAGGCGCCCAAGACGGCCCAAGAGGGCCCCAAAAGGGGGACCATGAATTGAAAAGTGTAGCCTTTCGCCCCAAGAAGCTCCCAGGAGGCCCCCAGAGCCCCCCAAGAAGCCCCAAGAGGCCCCCAAGAGGTTCCCAAGAGGCCTCCAAAAGGGCCCGACAAGGGTCCCAATAGGACTCCCAAGAAGGCCCAGAGACGCCAAATAGAGAGCGATCGGTAACGCAAAAAGCTCTTCACACCAAGGCTCCCAAGAGCGAACGTTGACAAGCTGATAAGACCAAGACTCCCAGCAGAGAGCGGTGACGTAACAAGTTCCTGACACCAAGGCCCAGCCAAGGCTCAGGAACGGGCGGCAACGCACAAATCTCTTCACACCAAGGCTCCCAAGAGCGAGGGGTGACGTAACAAGCTCTCAACGCCAAGGCTCCCAGTACGAACGGTGGTGTGAGTAATTTCGGCTTCTGTTTCTGAAGCGCTCTTTCCGTTTCCGTGCTGGCCCAGGTCTAGTGGACTCCTGCCCATCCCACCACCGTACCTAGGTCGTGGACCAAATGCCTCTTGGACGCTTCTTGGGTATCTTGGGGGGCCTCTTGGGCCGCGTGGAGGCTTCTTCGGGACCCTTTCGGAGCATCTTGGAGAGCTCTTGGGGGCCTCCTGAGGACCTCGTGGCAGCCGCAACTTGAGGCCTGCCAGAGGGCTCGGGGGTTATCTTGTACAGAAGGGCTCCAGGGCTCCTTCGAGTTCCTCCTCTGGGGCCCCTCTTGGGGCCTCGGGGGGCCTCTTGAGCAGGTCTTGGGAGCCTGTTTGTCCTGTTTGGACGCTCTTAGAAACGGCATGGTTTCAATCATGTTTGTCTCTTGGGCCAACCCCGACGGCCTCCAAGGCGGCCCCTAAGGCGGCTCCAGGACGTCATCTTGGGGCCATCCTACACACGCCTGGAAAAGTAATGCAACCTGTTTCAAACAATTTCTTGCAACACCACTGAACGCCCCATCCCAATGTTGAGTCAGCCGCGGCCGACGGTGGAAACATCGGATCGCATGGCGCCCCACGCGAGGTTTGACAATTTTAGGGCGGAGACGGACCGCGCGCGAGAGTCGCATTACTTTTCCAGGATAGTGTAGGGCCTGACCATGTTGGACGAATTCGATTCTCAACAGTGCGTCCAGGGCCTGGGGGAAACGTCGCGACCGAAGCTCCATAAGCGCCCGGAAGAGAATCAGGAAGCGCCTAGAAATTCCGTGAGCTGGGTGTTGGGGGCCCTTGCAGCGTTTTCTTAATTCAAATGTTTCAGGGTTTGGGGACCTGACCCAGACATGCTCGCGTTGTGACCAAAATCGCAAAAAGGATCTGGACTTTGGGGACCCCGTCTTGAAAATCAAGAAGACATCGCAGGGCTGTGACTCAGTGCCTCCGGCACGGTGGCGGATCTTCTGGTACCTGGATCAGACCGCACCCTACGGGACGGGGCACCGGCCGCTGTGGTTCCCGTTCACGAGGGAGTACTGGGCAGAGTCCTGTAACTGCTTCGAGAGGGGGAAGGAGTCCATGACGACTTCCGCGAACGAGCAGGACGGGGAGGCCTTCGGATAGAAGACGCATAGTAGTGAACAGTAGACGTATCGCTTCATATTTCTGGTCAGACACTTTCTGTTAAGCGTTTTACTCCTCCTGTTCTGGCCTACCGGGCTTCGGCGCGACAAGCTAACCACGTCCCAGGCCCCAAGCGTCAACATCCCGAGCTCTTCCCAGTCTCCCGCCACTCGGAGCGGAGCGACACGCCATCCGCTTGCAAGGCATAGTGTGTCGCCGGGGCCGCCGCGACACGCGAAGCAACAGTTCCTGACTGTAGGCTAGGTCACCCGCAGGGGCGTGAAGATAATCGCGCTTCGCGCGCCCGGGCCTGGCCTAGAAAGTCCAACTTCTCCGAGGTCGCGCTGCGAGGGCGCGACGAGAAGCGCTCGCCGCGCCTCGGCGGGGCGCGAAGCGCGAGGGTAGATGGCCTGGGCTAAAACTGGCCTGGGAGGCCTTCGAGGAGCCGACCGCCGCACAGCTGGAACTGACCCAAGAGAACAAGACCCTGGAGGTCGCGGGCCTCAGGAAGACCTTCACGGCGCAGGGCCGCACAATCGCGGCAGTCGATGGCGCTCGGCGCGAAGAGGAGGGGGTCCTGGAGCAAACGGGTCCTCGAGGTTTTTCGTTTCTGGGATCTTTGCCCCCCCTGGGTCCTGCGACAGTCAGAAACGACTCAGAATGGGACGGTGGTCCTGGGGAAAGCCCTGGGGCCCAGGTCCCGTTTCCCCCAGGTTTCCCAACCCCGCTTCCCTTTGTGCAAGGTGTGAGTCTCAGCATGTACCCCGGAGAAATCTATGTGCTACTGGGTCACAACGGGGCGGGCAAGACCACGTCCATCAGCTGCCTCACAGGGCTAATCAGGCCCACTGCTGGGAATGCGACACTCTTCGGCAATCCCCTGTGGGCGTTCCTCCAAACCACTGAGGGCCGGAAGCAGGTGGGAATCTGCCCGCAGCACAACGTTCTCTGGACAGAGCTCACATGCATGGAGCACGCAACGCTGTTCGGCGCCTTTCGCGGACTGAGCCACGCCATTGCGCAGTCCAGCAGCGTGGACATCCTGGCGCAGTGCGGACTCTCTGCTAAGGGTGGTGCGCAGGCGAAGGCCCTCAGCGGGGGCATGAAGCGGAAACTCTGCCTAGCCCTCGCGCTCGTGGGCGAGCCGAGGATATGCTTCCTCGACGAGCCTACCTCTGGCATGGACCCCACCGCGCGCAGGGACACGTGGGACCTCCTGCGGCGGCAGAAGGAGGGCAGGATCATGGTGCTCACAACGCATTACATGGACGAGGCGGACATACTAGGAGACCGCATCGGCATCATGGCCAAGGGACAAATGCAGTGCCTGGGCTCGCCGGTATTCTTGAAGAAACACTACGGCTGTGGCTACAATATAAATTTCGAGCTCGAAGACGGGAACACCAAGAGGCAGACTCGTGAGCTGGTCGCGAACGAGTTGGCCGGGTACAGCGAGGTGAGGGCCATGTCTGAGGCGGGCTCGGAGTTAGTGCTGCTCGTGGACTTCTCTGCCTCTAAGGCTTTCCCAAAGTTGTTCGCGAAGCTCGACGACGAGGGCACGAAAAAGACGCTGGGCCTCCGTGGCTGGAGTATCGCTGTCTGCCACCTAGAGGAGGTCTTCATCCGTGTGGCCGCTGGTCAGAAGACCGCCGCCGCGTCCACGTCAAAATCTTCAGAAAACCTTTTAGCCGCATCAGGAGAGGCGGATGGGGATGTCGACGAGGAGCTCCGGCCCAATGTATACCGGCAGGTCGGGGTCATGCTCGCGAAGCGAGCCCGCTACACCGTCCGGGACCCTTTGCTCCTCTTCTGCCAGCTTCTGTGCCCATGTATCGCCTTCGCCGTGATATTGGGGATCATGCAGGGTTTTGTCACCGACGAGGCCAAGTTGGACCTTTCCCTGGACCTGTACAATGACCCCGCCGTTGATGCTGGCCACCCGCGGACGGTGATCCCTTGGGCAGCTGTGGAGTCGAATGTCGACATGACGGCGGTCGGCCAGTCGACCGTTAGCATGGGCCTTGCGGACCAAGCTCCAGGTCTTTCCTTCGAGCCTGGTGCGACCTGCACCCCGGATCATGATCCCAGCGATGTCCTTTGGGATCAGCAGTGCAGCGACGAGACGTGCTGGGCCACGGCGTGCCAGGCTGAAGACGGTACGCTCAATCGAAGCTTGGCCAGCTATGCTCGGGCTTTCGGCTGTGGACTCTTGGGCACCGCTGGGGACGATGCGGCGTCGCGGTATGCTGCAGTTTTGCCAGTGTCGGTGAATGCTTCGGGCGCCTCGAGCATCGTGTTGGGGGTGAACCTGTCCGCTATCCACATCGCTCCGATCGGGTTGAACCTGGGCTCGAATCTCCTGCGGCGGGAGGCAGGGGTGCCAGGCCATGTCAAGGTCGCCAGCCACCCGTTTCCGCAGACCGACCGGCAGCGCTCCGATTTCTTCGGTGGGGATGGCCTTCTCTTATCGCTTGCTCTGATCCTCCCAGCATTTATCTTTCCGTTCCCCACAGCCTTTGCCGCCGCCTACGTGATCCGAGAAAAAGAAACAGGCGTCAAAGCGCAGCACCTGATGAGCGGCGTGGGTGTTGCCTCCTATTGGATCACAAACATTTTAGCAGACGTTCTCATATCCGAAAGCTTTCGGCCACTGCCACTGTCCCCTCCTGCCACAGGCATTGGGGGATCACTTGTCTCCGTTGTCGTTATCCTCCTACTCTTTCTGCTCCTCCCCCTCCTGGGGATTCTCGGGGCATTCTTTGAGCAGTTGTCAGGCCGTCCAGTGAGCCTCCCCTCTTCTAGCCAGTAGACATTTTTGATGCATTGGTGTCCACTGGGTCGACCCTGGGTCCTCTCAGTGTAATGCATAGGTGCATAGGTCTTCTTGCTGCTCCTTCGGAGCCTACTGGAGCGTCCTGGAGCCTTCTCAGGGTTTCTTGGGATGATATTGTGAAGGCCTCACGGCCGGTGCCGCCGACCCTGAAGGACGACAACAACGACGACGACGATTGCGACGACCTGGGGGTCCTGCCAGAGGCTAGGGACATGGGGCGGGATGGGGGAGGGAGGAGGAGTAACAGGAGGAGGAGGAGCAGGAGGAGGAGGAGGAGGAGGAGGAGCAGGAGGAAGAGGAGGATGTGCAGGAGGAGGAGGAGGCGGATGAATAGGAGGAGGCCCTCTAGGGCCGTCTTTGGGGCCTCTTGGAGCACTCTGGATCCTTTTTGGTGCGTCTGTGTGCCCCGGGATCCCCGGGGGGGATGGTATTCTGACCCGGGATCCCCCCCAGGACCCACCCCAGGACCACCCGGGACCCCTACCCTACTCCCCCCTCTTGGGGGAGGGATCACAGGGAAGGGGCTTCTCTTCGACTCAACTACGACGTTGCTCAATTTCACTTTGGTTTTGCGTAGGCTGGCTCGCTTGAGGGGGAGGGCCCAGTGAAAGGGGAAGGGGGGGTTAGCGGCGACGGGCTACACAAGGACGACGACGACGACAATGACGACGTCGAGTCAAACAGAACAGCGTCTTGCACACGGCGACAGGGTCGGCGGATTCGGCTCTCTCGCTGTCGCCTGGGTCCCGCCCAGGCATCTGGGAGTCATCTCGAGCAAGTTGACACTGCGTTTCTTCCCTGAGAGCGTGGGTCTGTCAGAATTTGCGAGGAATCTTGGCCCACATTAGTTTTAAGGGCGGCCGTGGCCCTGGAACCGTGGACGCGTCGTAAACTACAAGGGGCTGCGGTCCTGCAAGCGCGGATCCCTGATAATTGACAGGGGTTCCTGGCCAAGTCAGTGCTGATCCGTCCGTGTAATGTTCGGTGCGTCCGCGTTGATCTGGGATGCGCCCGATACACGAATCCGTGCCAAATAATGGCATGCGGCCACACGCGCCCACGCCGCCGCGCGCGCGCGTGTCGGAAACCTTCCCGAACCATAGGTCTTCGTGCCATTTCAAATAGAGCTTCCTAATCTCACATGAACACCATGTTGTTTTCATTAAATGTCAGCCAGCGTGGACTCAGAAGATGGTGTTCTAGTGTACTACGCGATGCGATCTATGTGGTGCAATATCTGTGCTTCAATGAATGTGGTGTAAAACATGTGGTGCAATCTTGGTGGTCTGATCTATGGGGTGTGAGACTCTTTAGGCTTACACCACATCCACCGACCCTTTGTTTGGGTGTCCAGCCGCGAGTTGTTCTTTGGTTTGGCAGTGTTTGATGGGGATTATGCCGACGGAGTTGAGCAACATCGCACTCCAACCCAAGAAGGGGATGATGAAGGACGAGGGAGTGCGGAGGAGGATAAGTAGGAGGAGGACAGGGAAGATGGGAGGCTTGGCGTCGAACCCGCGGGTTCGGACACCCGGCGGAGGACCCATTGAACTTGTGTCTCCGTCGAGCCTCTCGGGGGTGCCCTTTGAACCAGCCGTTCCGAGGATCCGATGGGGTTCTCGTTGAACCATCGGTTCCGGGGATCCTGTCAGAGCTTGTTCGGGGTCTCCTTAGAACCAGCGGTTCCGAAGACACTGCGGGTTCTCGTTGAACCACGGGTTCTGGAGATCTTGTTAGATCTCTCCCCCTTACCCCACCCCCCTCGCTCTGCCGACCCGAGTCATCCGGAGCGCTAGCCAGGAAACGCCCGAGCAGCGCGAGCGCTTGGAGTGCGAGGCGGGGATTTATCCATATCCACCCCTGGGGAACCGACGCCCAGGTACCCCAGCGGGCGGTGGATATGGGTATACGGGCCCGAACACATCCTTACCCACCGCCCGTGGAGATCCGCGACGATCGACCCCCTTGGGCGGTGGTGATGGATCAGACCCCGCCTCGGATGGAGGCCAAGAGGTGGAGGAGAGACAGGGTTGACCAAGGTGTGCGCGCTGCCAGCCCAGTGGGCCCTGGTCCTGGCTCCTCCTCCTCCTCCTCCTCCTCCTCCTGGGGGTGGGGCTGGCTCAGGCTCCTGAACGGACACCTATGGTCGTCGCTCTCTTGCGGCCATTCTGGTCGCACGGATGGAGGTTGGAGGCGGCCAGGGGGTCTGAATTGGTTGGGGCCCCGGAAAGTCGGTCAGGACGGAGGATGGAGCCAGATCGGCTCAAAATCGATCCCTGGACCCATCCTGGGGTCTACTTGCAGGTGCACTGGGTCGTCCCGCATTCGTTTTTGATTGTCCCGAGGCCCGATAACGGCCCCCAGAAGCCGAAAAACGGGCAGCCCAACAAAAAAACTTGACGAACCCACCGGCTCGATCTTGCCAGCCATTCCTGCTGGCTGGAACCAGTGCTGGACCCACCTCAGACCCCCAGGAGGCTTCGCGATTGAGGGCGGGCGCAGGGAGGGTCCTCTTGGGGACGGGGCGCCCGACTGCATGGAGGGCGATGCGGCGCTCCTCGCCTGTCCAGGGGGCCACCTCCCGCGAACAAAATATAAAGTTTTGTGCTGGCGCTGAAGAGGGGGGTGCACTTGGGGCGGATTCCGCTTCATTTCGTCCGCGCAGCATGTCGCCCGCTCCATGTCTTCAGTCACGTCGTCAGCGTCCGTTCGTCCGCTTCGATTCGTCGACCAACCTTGCTTTCTTGTCGTGGTGCGAGTTCCGGCGGTGCTGGCGCGTGGAACTGGCAGCCTATCCGAAGAGCGCATTGGAATTGTCGGCGGCTGCCATGGACGAGTGCCAAGCGGCGTTGTCGCCGTCGGGCGTTGAGAAAGTTTGCGATGCACACCGCGAGAAAGTGCAAATCGGCGAAGGTGTCGTGCAGTGCGGACCACAGTTGGTAGCAGGAGTGGACTGCGTTGTGAAAGACGGTGGGCGCTGCGCGCGGGTGCCGTTCCCCGATGTCCCGGATGTGGAAACCCTGAGGCACGCGTGGGTTCTGGCGCGAAACGAGCGCCCGAGGAATTTGGGTTTTCACGGGGCGCCGCAGCCGAAACACGGGGCGGGAGAGGGGGGCAGGAATGGGCTCCTGTTGATGGCGTATTTTCGAGCGTTTACGCTGCGAGACGGCGTGGAGCGCGGAGTGCTGCATCTGCGGGGTTTCCATGGAGCGCGCAAGTCGTGGGCGGAGGCGTCGTTGGAGTGGCCGCAGAATTGGATGCCTTGAGGGGGCGAAGAGGCGCGCGCAGAACTTCGCGGGCGCGGTGGATCTGCGGCCGGCCACGGACGAGGACTTCGTGAAACGCGAGGACGAATTGCACAGCGACGAAGAGCTCGACCCGAGAATCGTCGACCCGGCCACCGGGCGAAAGACGCGCGTCGGGGGCGCGCCAAGTCAATCGAGGAAGAAGACAGGCGGGCAAATGCGGCCCTCGAGGGCGAAAAAGAAAAGAGCAGGAAGGCGATGGCAAGCGGGGCTGCCTCGCGGGGCGAGGACTCGCGACGGAAGAGCGGGGGGCGCAGGAAGCGCGCGGGGGGCGGGGCTATGACATTGAATGCCGAGGCAGTTCAGAGGGCGCACGCGGCGGCCGCGGCGTCGAGGGCCCAGGAAGGAAACGGTTCGGGGGGGGCGGGGGGCGCCCCGCAGGTGGCGGCGGGAAGACGGCCGCAACGTCCAGCGCGCGCAGGTGGAAAGGGGCTTGCGGATGGAGGGCTGAATGCCGGTCAACGTAGCGTCGTGGAGAATGTGCCCGGCCAGGTTTTGGCGCAGGAATTCTCGGCGCTTGCCTGGGCAGGGCGGCGGTGCAGCGGCGCGGCGCCGCGGAGGCCGGGCGCCGCGCGGCGGCCCAGGGGCGGGGAAGGGCGTCGTCGTGGACAAGATTCGGAAGGAGCTGTTCGAGGAGGTGGGCGCGCGGCGTAGCATTCCAGGCGGCAGCTGCGCAAGCGATCCACGCGTCAGCCCTGGGCGGGAACGCAATCCACAGCGCGTTCGGCATGGGCGCGGCGAAGCGGGGGGGCCGAGCGGCGGGGGCGAGGGGGGCGCGGGCTCGAAGAAAAAGAAGACGAATAAGGATCTGGCCGCGCAGCGGATGCAACAGTGGAAGCGGTTGCTCACGGGCGAGGTGGGCGCGGTGAGCGTGAACTTCCTTGCAGAGCTCGGTTCGCATCTGCGGTCGCGCGCGTCGGCATCGAGCGACGCCGGGGTTGGAGAGGGCGGCGTGGACAGGCCGCTCGTGGGCGTGGGCGCGTTGTTCGGCGGGGATGTCTATCGGCCGTCAGGGGCAGCAATCAGCGCGCTGCCCATGTCGCGCTTAAGGAAGGCGAGGAATGCCCCAGGTGCCGCGGAGGACCGCGGGCAGCATGTCGTTTGGGGGGTCGGGGGCGAAGGGGCAGTGCGGGGCATGGCGGAGCTGGCGGAGTGCGAGCGCTTGGGAGGCCCAGACGATTGGTTCCTCGGAGTGCAGGGTGATTGTCGGCGCAGGGCGCCGACAGGACGCGCGCGCAAGTCCTTGCGCGGGGAGCCGACGGATGCGCGGGGGTCTCGGGCAGCGGCGCGGCGCGGCGCGGCGGCGTTCGTTGCCGAGGGGGCTCAGATGCAATTTCGAAGAATCGCCGGTTGGAGTGCGGGGCTTGCGCGAGCGAGCGAGGCGAGAGGAAGCCGGTTGCGACGTCGCCCGAAGATGCGCGATTTCGCGGGGGAATTTGTGGGCGCCGTTGCCATTTATGCCAGTCGGGACATTCGGTGCCGCGCGGGGGCGCAGAG